CGTGGACTCCATTTTGTAGCTCCATTTGTTAAGATTGGCTCTGTACCTCGTGGTGCCTGTTCAGAGCCTTCCAAGTCGCCCAGTCTTCTGTGTGCCCAGGAGGGAGTCTCTCATTTGGTATCAGCCATGGTTTAAGGTGCTGGGTTTCAGCCTGCCACTTTTGGGCTCTCTCTTGCTGAGGTGTTCCTGTGAGTATCTCTGTAGATCTTTGGAAGCTATTTCTTGATTTAAGACGTTGCCGTGCTGGCTGATATCTGAACAGAGGTTGGGCTGGAGAGATCACTGCCTTAGTTCTTTCATTGCTGGCAGCTACTTCCCTGTGGATGTCAGTTGGTGCAATACCAGCTAAACAGTATAAATTCTGCAGTGGTGTAGAGTGTAGAGGTGCTGTGATAATGCGGCATTTCTCATTAAGAGCCACATCCACTGTTTTAACATGGTGAGATGTGTTCCACACTTGGCATGTGTACTCAGCAGCAGAGTAGCCAAGCGCAAGGGCAGATGTTTTCACTGTGTCTGGTTGTAATACCCAGGTTGTGTCAGTCAGCTATTGTATGATATTATTTCCCAGGTAATCCTCAGACCTCGAGATGCTTGTCTGTTCTTAAGATGAAAAGCATACACCTGCATTTTAGATGGATTAGGAATTAGCTGGTTTCCCTTGTAATAGGCAGTAAGAGCACCTATAGCTTTGGAGAGCTTCTGTTTGGCCATTTCAAAGGTCTCTGCTTGTGTGGTGATGGCAGGATCGTCAGCATAGATGAAACTCTCTGTCCCTTCCGGCAGTGGCTGATCATTTGTGAAAATGTTAAACATATATGGAGCAAGAACACTCACCTAAGGCAAGCTGTTCTGTTTTCGACATCTGCTTCTCTGGCCTCGGAATTCAGTTAAGGATAACCATGTTTATTTAGGGGTTAGAGGCAATATAACTAGCTGAAAAGGGGAGATGGTTGCTAAAAAGTATCAAAAATCTCCAGGGGCGGCTTGTCCATTATGCGAAATAAGCGGTTGCAGAACACTTTTTTTTTGCCAGGGACGCAGTCCGGGGGGAGCCTCTGCTTTCTTGTCTCGCTGCCGGGCGATCCTCTTCCCAAAGGGGCCGGGCCCTTGAGCCTCGCCTCGCCCCTCTCGTTCCTGCTCCACCCGGCAAACAGTTGGCAAAGGGGAACGTAAAAGAGAAAGAATAGACAGAAAAGACTTAAAGAACTTAAAAGTCGGCCCCTGTTTATCAACGTTGTTAATTTGGGGAAAATGGCACAATAAATTACAAATAAACAAAAGCAACCCTTTCCCATGGGAAACCTTGGAAAATAAGGACAAGACATTCATGGATATAATTAGGGCACTTAAGGACATTGGAATCAAAAGGATAGGGGACCTCATGGGACCCAATGGAGAAATAAAAGGTGGGGTAAGATAAAAGACAAATGTGGTCATGGAAACTGAATAGCGTGGCTAGACCTGTCCAGAAAAGCTCACGCCATGAAAAGAAGAGAAGTAGCAGAAACACCACTTGACAGAATAATTAAAAAAGGAAAGTAGAAATAGACAAAGGGATTATTGGGCTACTCTATGAGGAATCAATCACTTAACTTACAAAACAAAAACAACCCTTGTAGAACATTGGAAACAAGAGGAAAGCTTCAATGAGAAATTAATTGGGTCTTGGATTGACAATATTACTAAAATTAAACATTTGAGGATCCAAGAAGCCCAAATCATCTCCCACCCAATTTGCACACATTATGGGAAATGGTTCAAACAAATGTTGGCACAACTGTGGGGGGGTCGGCTCATTCTCCCACATCTGGTGGGATTGTATCAAAATTCAGAACTATTATGGTAAAATAAGGACGGTAATGGAGGACATAATAGGGAAAGAATGAATCTGGAATAAAGTATTATTATTATTATTATTATTATTATTATTATTATTATTATCTTTATTTGTACCCCGCTAGCATCTCCCAAAGGACTCGATGCGGCTTACAAAGGCCAAAGCCTCAACAACAGTAGCATAGCAAATACAACCAAAAGCAAAATCAAGAACATGAAAGCAAAACAATAAAGCAACAAAACAATACACCATAGCACAATGAAACTAGGTCCGGGCCAAGTAATGGGTACAGATTAAAAAGTGCTGCGTGTGACAGGTGGGATGTCGGATTTCAGGGCAAGTGCAATGTGCAGAGAATCTTAAAACTCTAATAAAGTGCTTCTGGGACATAATGCTGGAGTTTCCTATTCTGGAAAGGCACATGTTCAGAAATCTGTAACCCATCATCCTCCTTGTCCTGAGGAAACTCAGGCTCAGAAAGCTCAGGCTCAAACCAAGATCAAAACCAAAGTCCCAAAGAGCCAAAAGCTTTCCCCAAAAGCTGGGGCAATACCAAAGAATCATAGAATCATAGAATCACAGAGTTGGAAGAGACCTCATGGGCCATCCAGTCCAACCCTCTGCCAAGAAGCAGGAATATTGCATTCAAATCACCCCTGACAGATGGCCATCCAGCCTCTGTTTAAAAGCTTCAAAAGATATACCCTTTTAATTTCTGGATAAATTTTCCTTTCCCCCATTGGGAGCATATATATTGCAGATTAAAATTTTAAGACCGTTCGTATTAACCAAAACTCCTAGTATTCTCCCATCGTCATCTTTAAATGCTAGACTGGATATTAAACTTTCTTTAATGTATGTAGCTACACTCAAAGAAGATCCCAAAAGAGTAACACGACTAAAACAACAAACTGGACTAACTTCCTCCAATACTTAGAGGACGTTAAAAAGGAATAACTAGTAATAACAATAACAATAAATAAATGATAATATTAATGATAAAATAAAAATAAATAAAAACGTAAAATACTAATAAGAATAATAATAACAATATCAACGATAATACTATTAGACAAACCTCCCGGCAAAGAAAAGAAAATTGTTGGCTTAATAAAATAAGGCAAAACTTAAATAATAATCGGACTTCATTCTCTCCACAAGAAGAAAAGACAATAGTCTCAAGAAGGTGAAGAATATGATCCACTCCTGGACAACTTGGAAGTGCCTTACAAAACGGACAGAATCCCCTTCCCGTGAACGTGTCGAGCGAATGAGTGTGTGTGAGGGTGAGAGAGTGAGGTATATCCCCCCCCTTCCTTTCCCCATTTTGGTTTGTTTGTTTGTTTGTGGGGAAGCCCTACTCTATGGGCCTCCCTATCTTTTCTTTCTTCTGCACTTTCCTATCCCAACCCAATTGTTCCACCACTTTTTATACACTTAAAAATTCACTATATATATATATTCTTAAAAAAAGCTTCCAAAGAAGGAGCCTCCACCACACTCCGGGGCAGAGAGTTCCACTGCTGAACGGCTCTCACAGTCAGGAAGTTCTTCCTCATGTTCAGATGGAATCTCCTCTTGTAATTTGAAGCCATTGTTTGCGTCCTAGTCTCCAGGGAAGCAGAAAACAAGCTTGCTCCCTCCTCACTGTGGCTTCCTCTCACATATTTATACATGCAGGGGCGGCTCGTCCATTACGCGAAGTAAGCGGTCGCACAACACTTTTTTTGCCAGGGGCGCAGAGGCGCCTCTGTAAATGCCCCTCGACTGCCACTTGAGGAGTGCCCCCTCAGCTCACAACAGCCCTAGCAGTCCGGGGGGAGCCTCTGCTTTCTTGCCTTGCTGCCGGGCGATCCTCTTCCCAAAGGGGCAGGACCTTGAGCTTCACCTAGCCCCTCTCGTTCCTGCTCCACCCGGCCACTGGGTGCGCGAGAGAGAGAGCCCCTCTGGCTGGAGGTATCTCCCACCTCCGCTCCCTCCTTTGTTTTAGCGCCTACCTTCAGGAAAGGTGAGCATCTCCACCTCTCTCTCTCTCTCTTTCTCTCTCTCTCTCGGTCCCAATGGCTGAGGAGAAAGTCAGGAGAAGAGGTGACTTTTGGTGCACACGCCGGGGTCTTCAGGCACGCCTCCGGACCCAAAGCGGGCCAGGCAAGGGAGCAAATGCGGCAAGTATAGTTACTGGGATGTATAGTTCACCTACAATCAAAGAGCATTCTGAACTCCACCAATGATGGAATTGAACCAAATATGGCACACAGAACTCCCACGACAAACAGAAAATATATATCAATGATTGGTTGGGGGGGGGGGGCGCCAAAATACTATTTGCTTACCGTTGAAAATTACCTAGGGCCGCCTCTGAGGGTACAGAATTAAAAGTGCTGATGTGACAGGTGGTATATAAGGATTATAGGGTAAGTGCAGTGTGCAGTGTGCGGCAATCTTAGTTCTAATAAAGTGCTTCTGGGACTTGGTATTGGAGATTTCCTATTCTGGGAAGGCACATTGGAACAGCCAGGTCTTCAAGTTCTTTCTAAAGACTGCCAATGTAGGGGCCTGTCTAAGATCTTTGGGGAGGGTGTTCCAGAGTCGGGGGGCCACCACAGAAAAGGCCCTGTCTCGTGTCCCCACCAAACGCTTGCGACGCAGGCGGGATCACGAGCAGGGCCTCTCCAGATGAACGAAGTGAACGCGTGGGTTCGTAGACGGAGATGCGGTCACGCAGGTAGGGTGGTACATGCCTGATTCAGGGCTTTGTAGGTAAGCACCTGCACCTTAAATTGGGCTCGGAAAATAAACGGCAGCCAGTGGAACTCCTTGAACAGGAGGGTTGACCTCTCTCTGTAAGGAGCGCCAGTTAACATCCTGGCCGCTGCCCGTTGGACCAGTTGGAATCTACGAGCCGTTTTCAAGGGCAGCCCCACGTAGAGAGCATTACAGTAATCCAACCTAGAGGTGACCAAGGCATAGACCACCCCGGCCAGATCAGCCTTCGCAAGGTACGGTCTAATTTCCCTGGGGAGAGAGTCCCAGAGCCATGGTGCCACCACCAAGAAACCCTCTCTCTAGTCCTCACAAACCATGCTTATGAGCAAGAGAAGAGCTTAATGTACCAGTGAAACTTAAGAAAATCTACAGCTCTAGCAATAAGCAAACATACCTGCATAGAGAGTAGGGTGTTGTTGAAGATGTTGGTCATGATGGTCATAGGTAAAACAGAAGTAAAAAATCAGGATGAAAGCAGCTTCCAAAAAGAGTATGAATGCAGGCAGACGAAACTGGAGACTTGGTGGGTATTGGGAAGCCATTTCTGGTTCAGCATTAAAGACAAGAAGTCATTAGTAATTTTGCTTCTGTTGAAATGTTCCATTAGTCTCAAGAAGAGGAAAAGAGAGTGACGGAGAATTTTTGGGCATGATAAGAGATCCCAGGCGGCATAGAGCCCTTATCAAAGGCAGTCCAGCAGGCTACATTGCAAAGACAGATGCTTGACGGCCGTTGAGCAAACCTGCAATCCAGTGCCATGGGAGACAGCTGTGCCAGAATGGCATTGTTAACAAGACTGCAACTGTTGAGAAATGCCCTAACCTTAGATAATTTGCATGTGCCAGTGGTTAAACTAGTATTAGTGAACTTCAAAGTACCAGAATAGTGGGGTTTTGATTTAGAGAGAAGGCTTGTGAATATGGTGTTCAATCCCTATTATCCCCAGTCCGCATGGCAAATAATCAAAAGTGATGGAAGTTGCTGTTCAATAATATCTGGGGACACAAACTGGGTAAAAATAATAAATAAATAAATAAATAAATAAATAAGCTGTAATAAAACTGCTGTTGAAGTAACTAATCACTGGACCCCACTCAATTTGTCAACTATCAGCCTGTTTCCAATCTCCTCTTTTTGAGCAAAGTCCCGGAACGTGTGGTGGCCCTACAACTCCAGGTATTCTTGGAAGACAGGGATTATCTGGATCTGGCACAGTCTGGCTTTAGACCAAGACATGAAACCGAGAAAGCCTTGGTCGCCTTAGCTCAGTGGTTCTCAACTTGTGGGTCCACAGGTGTTTTGGCCTACAACTCCCAGAAATCCCAGCCAGTTTACCAGCTGTTAGGATTTCTGGGAATTGAAGGCCAAAACATCTGGGGACGCACAGGTTGAGAACCATTGCCTTAGTTTATGATCTACACTGGGAGCTAGACAGGGTAGTGTGTCCCTATTCGTTCTGTTGGACCTCTCATTGGCCTTCGATACCGTCGACCACTATATCCTTCTGGGACGCCTCGCCGGAATGGGCCTGGAAGGTCGCACCCAGAAGGTGTTACTAGGGGACTCCTGTTCAACCCCAAACCCTTGTCTTGTGGGGTTCCTCAGGGTTCAATATTGTCTCCCATGTTGTTTAACATCTACATGAAGCCGCTGGGGGAGATCATCCGGAGTTTTGGGGTACGATGTCACCTTTACGCAGATGATGTCCAACTCTATCACTCCTTCCCACCTGCTACTAAGGAGGATGTTCAGGTCCTGAACTGATGCTTGACTGCTGTAATGATCTGGATGAGGGCAAACAAATTGAAACTGAATCCAGGCAAGACAGAGGTACTCCTGGTCAGTCGTAAGGCCGAACAGGGCATAGGGTTACAGCCTGTGTTGGATGGGGTTACACTCCCCTTGAAGATGCAGCTTTGCAGTTTGGGTGTGATCCTGGATTCATCACTGAGCCTGGAACCCCAGGTTTTGGCGGTTACCAGGGGAGCATTTGCACAGTTAAAACTTGTGCGCCAGTTACGCCAGTACTTTGGGAAGTCTGACTTGGCCACAGTAGTCCATGCTCTGGTCACATCCCTTATAGACGATTGCAACGCGCTCTACGTGGGGTTCCCTTTGAAGGCTGTCCTGAAGCTTCAAATGGTCCAACAAACGGCAGCCAGATTGCTAACAGGAGCAGCGCTCAGGGAGCGTACAACTCCTCTGTTACGCCAGCTCCACTGGCTGCCAGTTTGCTACCAGACACAATTCAAAGTGCTGGCTTTATCCTATAAAGCCCTAAACGGTTCTGGCAAAACTTACATGTCCGAACGCATCTCCCCTTATGAACCATCTAGGACCTTAAGATTGTCTGGGGAAGCCCTGCTCTTGTTACCGCCTTTGTCACAAGTACGTTTGGCGGAGACGAGAGACAGGGCCTTCTTGGTGGTGGCCCCTCGGCTGTGGAACGCCCTCCCAATAGATATTAGATTGGCAACCTCCCTTTTAACATTCCAGAAAAAAAATCAATACGTGGCTTTTTGAACAAGCGTTTGCAAATGCAGAGTAACTGACACAGGAAAATGGAACGACTACACAATGAGTCCAGACAACGTTTTTAACAAGGAAACACTATGAATTTATATTTTATTGATTTGTTTAGTTTTTATTATATGTTATGTTTTTAATTATATTTATGACATTGTAAGCAAGCAAGCAAAGTTTATTGATTAGTCCATTGACCGTATCAACATTAAAAACAAAAACAGAAACGTGCACAAATAGACAATAATCATTATCCCAAGACTTCCATAATACTGAACTAGCATACATTCAAACTTGATTAAGTTAAAAGATATGACATTGTAAGCATTGAATTTTGCTCTGTTAACCGCCTTGAGTTGCCTACGGGCCGAGAAAGACGGTATACAAATACAGTAAATAAAATAATAAATAAATAAATAAAAATTAAAGAGCACTGATCACTGTGTGTGTGTGTGTGCGTGTGCGTGTATGTGTGTGTGTGTGTGTATATATATATATATATATATATAGTTGGTACTCTGTACCAATGGATTCTCTGTCCACGGATTCAACCTCCCTTTGAAGGCAACCATAAGACTGATGTGGCCCTCCATGGAAATGAGGTTGACACCCCAGCTTTAGAGAGAACTTACTTTTCTGGAAAGTAAAATCTTATGTGATGCTCACTGAATTCACCAGGACTTTGTTCTGTATTTATTTGAAACACACATTTCTTATTCCTAGTGTTTGCTGGAAGCTCTAATGATTGAAGAAATGAAATATAAACCACAAAAACCCTGTACGAAAATGAGAACAATTCTACAAGACTACAGTTTTATTTATTTTTATTTATTTGGTTTACTTCTACCCCACCCTTCTCACCCCGAAGGGGACTCAGGGCGGCTTACAAAAACAAGGCACAATTCGATGCCCGTATCATACAACAGTAATAAAACAAAATAAAACAGTAATAGAACAAAATAGCATAAATTAACAATCAGACCACAATTATATATTACATCTATAAACCGATAAAACCAATAAGACCAATAAAAATCCATACAAACCAATACAAACCAATTACTCCTTATTGCCGGTCAACGTTCACTATCTCATAGTTCATATTCCAATTCCACAATTGTCAGTCCTGTCAGTCCTATTCGTCTGGTTGTCCTTATCTAGATAGCAGATTGCCCGAAGGCCTGGTCCCACAACCACGTCTTTACCTTCCTCCTGAAGGAAAGGAGGGACGTTGATGCCCTAATTTCCCCCGGGAGTGAGTTCCACAGGTGAGGGGCCACCACTGAGAAGGCCCTGCTCCTCGTCCCCACCAGCCTCACTTGGGAAAGTGGTGGGGTCGAGAGCAGGGCCCCCTTAGATGATCTCAAATTCTGGGGTGGGACGTAGAGGGAGATACGTTCAGACAGATACACTGGACCGGAACCGTACAGGGTTTTGTAGGTCAGCACCAGCACCTTGAATTGGGCTCGGAACTGCACCGGCAGCCAGTGGAGCTGACATAGCAGAGGGGTGGTGTGCTCCCTGTATGTCGCTCCAGTGAGCAGCCTGGCAGCCGCTCGCTGAACCAGTTGAAGTTTCCGAACCGTCTTCAAGGGCAACCCCACGTAGAGTGCGTTGCAGTAGTCTATTCGGGATGTAACAAGAGCGTGGACCACTGTGGCCAGATCAGACTTCCCAAGGTTGTGTGTAGTCTAATGCGTGAGTAGCTGTACTAGTGTACAGACCAAATATCTGCGCTGTATACTTCATAGTGTGCACATAGTTATAAACTAGTTGGGAGTAATGCATATATGTTTTATATTAAAATGCACTGAAATAGAGATGTGCAGATATGGTCCAGCGCATCTAGGAAAATCTTGAAATATCATGTTCTACATATGTGTATGTGAAACTCTTCCAATGTCCTGCTGTGAGGTGAGCTCACCCCAAGGAGACAATGCTGGTAGGAAAAGACCATTGAACTCTTTATGTTTACATAACTTCCTCATTATCTCAGCAGCCCACACTTTTGCGTACACCAGATGTAACCTATAATCCTATTCTGGACTATTGGCATATTGCCTTTAAACAAGCATGAGCAAACTTTCGCCCTCCAGGTGTTTTGGACTTCAACTCCCACAATTCCTAACACCTGGAGGGCCTGCCTTAAACCATTTCATCAATCTTGCCCCTTTCCTCCTGGGAGGACACTCCAAATGACTCCAGCTTCAAATTGACAGCTCTTCATTTTTCCCACCGCGAGATTCTGCCTATTTCTGACATCACAGGGAGTTCCTAGCCAATGAAAGCTCAGATCCTGTCTTGGCCATTTCTGAGCCAATCAGAGGATGGAGTGGATCCTTTGAATGGCTGTCAAACGGGATAAATAATAATAATAATAATAATAATAATAATAATAATAATATTTTTAAAAAACTTTATTTATACCCTGCTACCATCTCCCCAAGGGACTCGGTGTGGCTTACATGAGGCCAAGCCCACAGCACATCAATAAACAAAAGCAATAACAAAAAATCAATACAATACAATTAATATAAATCACATAAACAAAAAATAAACAATAAACAATAAACGGTAACACACAAGCATTTAAAAACCTATGGCCGGGCCAAATGTAATAGTTTAAAATATAAAAAATAATGCTGGGCATGAACAAGGTAGGATATAACTGGCATAGGGTTTTCAAAAAGAGATGAGGGAATGCAGTCAGTCCTAAATCAGTAATAAAGTGCATTTTGAGGGCATATTGCTGAGGGTTTTCCTTATTCTGGGAAGGCACACTGGAACAACCACGTTTTCAGGCTCCTCCTAAAGACTGCCAGAGTTGGGGCATGTCTGATGTCCTTGGGAAGTGAGTTCCAGAGTCGAGGGGCCACCACCGAAAAGGCCCTCTCCCTCGTCTCCACCAATCAAAATTTGTACCAATTGAAATTTCTGGGCCATTTTTAAGGGCAGCCCCACATAGAGTGCATTACAGTAATCCAATCTGGAGGTGACTAAAGCATGGACCACCCTGGCCAGATCCGCCTTCATGAGGTATGGTCGCAGCTGGCGCACGAGTCTTAATTGTGCAAACGCCCTCCCGGCCACCGCCGATGCCTGAGCTGCAAGCGTAAGTGATGAGTCCAGGAGGACACCCAGACTGCGGACCTGTGACTTCAGGGGGAGTGCAACCCCGTCCAGCACAGGTTGCCACCCTATACCCCGATCCGGCTTATGATCAACCAGGAGGACCTCTGTCTTGTCGGGATTGATACTCAGCTTGTTCCTCCTCATCCAGACAGCCACAGCAGCCAGGCACTCGTCCAGCACCTGAGGGGCTTCCTTGGAGTTAGGTGAAAAAGAGTAGTAGAGTTGGATGTCATCTGCATAGAGATGGCACCCAACTCCAAAACCCCAGATGACCTCTCCCAGCAGTTCCATGTAGATGTTGAAAAGCATGGGGAACAGAATTGAACCTTGCAGGACCCCACAGGTCAAAGGCCAGGGGTCTGAGCAGGTGTCTCCCAGCTTCACCATCTGGGAACAACTCTCCAGGAAAGACCGGAGCCATGACAGGGCCGGGCCTCCAAGGTCCATCCCGGAGAGTTGTCCCAGAAGGATACCATGATCGATGGTATCGAAAGCCGCTGAGATATCCAAGAGAACCAGCAGGGTCACACTCCCCCTGTCCAGCTCCCTGCAGAGGTCATCCACCAAGGTGACCAAAGCCATCTCAGTACCGTGACCAGGCTTGAAGCCAGACTGTGACTGATCCAGATAGTTGATGTCATCCAGGAAACCCGGAGCTGAGAGGCGATCACCCGCTACAGCACCTTGCCTTGCACTGTATTGCATGGTTAGGTCTGATACCTTTTGAGTGGAGGCTCTGTATCAGACATCCTTTCAAGCCTGAAAGTAATAAACTTCTGCTACTGTTGCTTTCACACACAGTTTGAATGTTGTTCCAGTTTAAAAGGGTAGCTGAATTTTGGCTTCACTATCAGTATCTTCGCTTTGGTATACTATCCACCCATTCTTGGTAAAGGATTCTAGAGGCAGCTGTTATTTCCCTTACTTATTGTAGACAGGCATAGATAGCATACTGGAGAATTTGTTCCTAGTTCAAAGACATGCAAAACTACACGTCCCGCAATTCCCTGGCATTGAGCCATGGGAGTAAAAGTGGTGTCAAACTGCATCACTTCTACAGTGTAAATGCATAAACCACCAAGGCTTAACTCAAGATTTAAGGTACTAGATGGTAGGGTTGTGCAATTTCTTTGTTCGTCGTCGTAAATTGTATCAAATTCATATTTATGACACAATATCTGACACGTGGACATGGCCCACACTAAAAAACTTAACAATCGAAACTTACCCAATATTTTTTCATTTGCATTTCGTAACTCTCGGAAGCTTCCCAAAGTCAGTTTCATTTTCAGCGCAAGGAAGCAAAGCAACACCAAATAGTCTCCCTTTCCTTTTTAATTTTTTTTTTAAAATCATCTTTATTGAAAGTTTCCTTTTGTTACATACAGTGTATCTGAGTTGAAAAGTGTGAAGTAAAAGAGGGGTAAGAATAGGGGGGTAAAGAAGGGAAAAATGAGGAAGAAAAGGAAGAAAGCAGGAGTTGGGGAAAAGGGGGGTAAAGAAGAGAAAGAAAAGAGGAAAAATTGTAGAAATAGAAATAGAAAAGATTTAAAAAACAGTAGAGACAGATGGTGTGCGTCTCCCTCGTTGACTTCCTTCATATCTTCCAAGTGGGTTTTCCTTTTCTTTCTTCCGTCTGTATTTTCTTTCTCTTCTACTGTATTTTCTCTTCTACTTATGTTGTTATATTTCTACTTCTTTGGTTTAAGTAACTTGTCACATTTGTCCAGTTTCTTTTATTGGGGTTCCTTTATTTTTTGATATCAGGTATGTTAACCTGTCCATGTTTCTAATATCTAATATTTTTTCTGTCCAGTCCTTAATTTCTGGAGTATCTTCTTTCTTCCAGAGTTTTGCATAGCAGATTCTTGCTGCTGTATTCAATAAGAAAAGAAGTTTGTCTGTGTTTTTGTCTATCTTTGGATTTGTTATGCCTAATACGAATATCTCTGGTTTAAATGGGATTCTTATATGTAATATTTCCTGTACCTCTTCGTGGATTTTTTTTCCAGTATAGTTTCGCTCTCCTTTCCTCTTTAAATTAATGACCTCCCGCCATTAGGCTAAGGAAGCAACAAGTAGAAGGCAGAGTTTGCTGGGAAAGAGACTGAGAGCACAGAATTCTGGGAAATGTAGCATTTCTCAATCTGGGGGTCGGGACCCTTGGGGGGGGAGGTCATGAGGGGGTGTCAGAAGGGTCGCCAAAGACCATCAGAAAATACAGTATTTTCTGTTAGTCATGGGGGTTCTGTGTAGGAAGTTTGGCCCAATTCTATCATTGGTGGGATTCGTAGGCGATTGATTGTAGGCGAACTATAAATCCCAGTAACTACAGCTGCCTAATGTCAAGGTCTATTTCCCCCAAACTCCATCTCTATTCATATTTGGACATATGGAGTATTTGTGCCGAGTGTGGTCCAGATCGATCATTGTGTGAGTCCACAATCCTCTCTGGATGTAGGTGAACTACAACTCCAAAACTCAAGGTCAATGCCTACCAAACCCTTCTAGTGTTACACTATTAAGCTTTATTTTTGGCATTGGAGAGGGATTGGCTGGTGACTGCCGGAAGAGCACTTCGGTTTTTTCAATGTTCAATGAGCTCCACTGGTTGCCATTCATCTACCGGACCCAATTCAAGGTGCAGGTTCTTACCTACAAAGCCCTGAACGGTTTGGGACCCGCCTACCTGCGTGATCACATCTCTGTATATGAACCCACACAATCCCTTCGATCATCCGGAGAGGCCCTGCTCTCGATCCCACCAGCATTGCAGGCGCGGTTGGTGGGGACGAGAGAGAGGGCCCCTCGACTCTGGAGCTCACTTCCTAAAGACATCAGACAGGCTCCAACTTTGGCAATCTTCAGGAGGAACTGAAGACGTGACTGTTCCAGTGTGCCTTCCCAGAATAATGACCCCATAGCACTTTGTCCTCCAAAGCACTTTACATTTCTGTAAGTCTGCTCGTATGCCCTTCCACAAACACCAGTATCACCTTCCATTCATGGCCCAGCATTATTTCCAATTTTAACTTAACATTTGGCCTTCCCACTGTTTTTAATTATGTGTTGTTTTATTGATAATGTTGTTTATCTATGTGTTTTTAATTGCTTGTATTGTTGTGATTATTGCTTGTATTGTGTTTGGGCTCGGCCTCATGTAAGCCGCACCGAGTCCCTTGGGGAGATGGTAAAGTAAAGGTAGTCCCCTGACATTAAGTCCAGTCATGTCTGACTCTGGGGTGTGGTGCTCATCTCCATTTCTAAGCCGAAGAGCCAGAGTTGTCCGTAGACACCTCCAAGGTCATGTGGCCGGCATGACTGCATTGAGCGCCGTTACCTTCCCGCCGGAGCGGTACCTATTGATCGACTCACATTTGCATGTTTTCGAACTGCTAGGTTGGCAGAAGCTAGGGCTGACAGCGGAAGCTCACGCCGCTCCCCAGAATCGAACCTGCGACCTTTCGATCAACAAGCTCAGCAGCTCAGTGCTTTAACCCACTGCGCCACCGGGAGATGGTAGCGGGCTACAAATAAAGTGTTATTATTATTGTTATTATTATGACAGGCTGAGTTTCTCGTATGCTTCTGCAAAGTTTAGAGTGACCTAAACACCTTCTTCTGAATGCACAGACTATGTTATCATCGGCATATTGGAGTTCTGTAACAGATGTTGTTGTGATCTTGGTTTTGGCTTTCAGTCTGCTGTGGTTAAATAGCTTGCAATCTCTCCGATAGATGATTTCCACTCCAATAGGAAGCTTCCCATCAACAAAACTATTACTTGTACCAGGACAAGGAGTTGTGCCATTATTATTTCCCACCCAGCTACTCTCCTAGCCAATTTCCACCCCTAACTCTTTTAAACTGTGGCAATAAGTTTAAAAAGCCAAGTTTCTCCAAAGAAGCATGCAACATCCAGATGTGGCTCCCTTTCCCTTTCCGGCTTGCTTTCATTCGTTCCCTCCTGCCTTCTTTGCTCCCTAATTGGCTGGCTCACTTTCCCAAGGCCCTTCACGTGCGGCCTCACCTTCCTCCTTTTTGATTGGGTCTCCTTCCAGTCATTTCTTCAGTCCTGATCTCTACTGGATCAGATCCCTGTCAGTCACAAAGAAAGGCGGAGCCTGCACTAGAAGGCAGAACCTTTGCCTCTTTCTACCTTTGGTGCTTGAATTACGCGAATCTTTATGTCCGGATCTTATTGGTTGGAAGCCCCGTCAATCAACCGAAATGTCAAAGCAAGAAGTAGAACGCAACCTCCCCCTTCCCCCCCTCCTTTTCCTTCACTTAGGCTTCGAAACCGCCTTCATTCTCTTCCGAGCAACCATTGGGCGATAGAGGGATCAATCCACCAGCGCCTTATTGTCACAGGCTGTTCTAAACGCCGTTCTATTGAATGGGCGGGATGGGGAACAATGGAGGCGGGGATTTTACGTTCCCGTTTTCCCATTGGTTCTTTCGCCTGCCTTTCTTCCCTCTCGGGTGGGAAGCTTGATAAGTTCCCCTGTGTGGATTGGCTCGTGGGTCAAAGGAGGCGGGGCGAAAGGGAGGGAGGGAGGTGAGGAAGGAGGGAGCGACCCGAAATTATTTTGTATGCCTTTGTTTCCTTGTCTGGCGGGGAGGGACGGAAAGCCGGAGGGGACAAAGAGCCGGGGGCGAAGCGGCTCCTGGGGCCTTGCGCGCGGGATGGGGCGGCTGTGAGCGAGCGGGGCGGGAAGGCGAAGGAGGCCGAGGCCTGCTTGGTTCGCCTCGGGCCTGGAGAGAGGATGAAGCGCCGGAGCGCCGACTGCAGCAAACTCCGGCGGCCGCTCAAGCGGAACCGCATCACCGAGGGCATCTACGGCAGGTAAGGCCCACGCCCTCCGCGCCTCGGCCTGCCTCCCTTCCCTTCCGGGCCATTGTCTCCAGGACGAGCGTTCCCCCCACGCTTTCAGGGAATGGTGAGGCGGGGAGAAGGCGTCGCACAATCCTGGGCTGGGAAGAGACCACGAAAGGCCGTCCAGCCAGGCATGGGCCAACTTGGGCCTTCCCTCTAGGTGTTTTGGACTTCAACTCCCACAATTCCTCACAGCCTGGGGCCCCTTTCCCTCCTCGGCCGCTAAGGGGCCCGAGGCTGTGAGGAATTGTGGGAGTTGAAGTCCAAAACACCTGGAGGGAGGGCCCAAGTTGGCCCATGCGTGGCCTAGCCCAACCCTCAGTTAACCAAGTTCAAATAAGATACTGTGGGATTTTCTGCCTTGATATTCTGGGTTATATGGCTGCGTGGAAGGGCCCCAGGTGGAATCTTCTCCCCTGTCATTATTATCTATTAGGCTTGTTTGATCGTGTTCATTAGTTTCTAAAGTCGTTATTAATTCGTATTTAAATTAGCTTACGATCCAATATCGAGCCATGCAGGAATAGTGTGAAGAGTCTATTCTGTTTTGGTTAGACCACATTTGGAATATTGTGTCCAATTCTGGGCACCACAATTCAAGAGAGATATTGACAAGCTGGAATGTGTCCAGAGGAGGGCGACTAAAATGATCAAGGGTCTGGAGAACAAGCCTATGAGGAGCGCCTTAAGGAGCTGGGCATGTTTAGCCTGAAGAAGAGAAGGCTGAGAGGAGATATGATAGCCATGTATAAATATGTGAGAGGAAGCCACAGGGAGGAGGGAGCAAGCTTGTTTTCTGCTTCCCTGGAGACTAGGACGCAAACAATGGCTTCAAACTACAAGAAAGGAAATTCCATCTGAACATGAGGAAGAACTTCCTGACTGTGAGAGCCGTTCAGCAGTGGAACTCTCTGCCCGGAGTGTGGTGGAGGCTCCTTCTTTGGAAGCTTTTAAACAGAGGCTGGATGGCCATCTGTTAGGGGTGATTTGAATGCAATATTCCTGCTTCTTGGCAGGGGGTTGGACTGGATGGCCCATGAGGTCTCTTCCAACTCTTTGATTCTATGATTCTAATAGAAATAATAATTGAATAATAATATACTATTATTATTAATAGAAACGACAGCAGAAGGGCCCTGGATGGTGCCCAGTTTTGCCTTTCCTCCCCATCCTCCTCCTCCTCCTCTGGAGATAATTTATTATTTATTATTTATTATTTTTTATTTATTATTATTATTATTATTTTATTAATTTTAAGTGATTTTAATTTGTATTTTTACTAACTTAATGTATTTTAATTTCATCCTGAATTTATTTTAATTTGGTTTCTGTTAGTTGTAAGTTTTATCACCAACAGTCAGCAACAGAGGGAGAGGGATGCTTCAGAAGTTCCCCCTGTCCCGTTTGGAGGTGTTTTTAGCGCATTGCGCAATCGCGTCCGCCATTAACGAATCGATTCGTAATTAACGAAATTTTGTAAATTTCGAAATTTTGAAATCTTAAATTTCGGAAGTCCTCAGAAATTCGAAACGCTGGCGCCCCCTGGAAACGAAGCGAGTTTAGAACCAAATTTTTTCTTGATCAAACAAGCCTATTATCTATATATATAAAATGCTTTGTGCATAATGAGTACCTTAACAAAAGAACCAATGAACGAAATCACACCAAATTTGGCAACAAAAGTCTCACTACCCAAGGAGTGACCATCACTCAAAAAAATAGGATTTTGTCATTTGGGAGTTGTAGTTGCTGGGATTTATAGTTCACCTACAATCAAAGAGCATTCTGAACTCCACCAACAATGGAATTGAACTAAACTTGGCACACAGAACTCCCTTGACCAACAGAAAACACTAGAAGGGTTTGGTGGGCATTGGCCTTGAGTTATGGAGTTGTAGTTCGCCAACATCCAGAGAGCACTGTGGAGTCAAACAGTGATGGATCTGGACCAAACTTGGCACGAATACTCAATATGCCCAAATAAAAACACAGATGGAGTCTGAGGGAAATAGACCTTGACATTTGGGAGTTTTAGTTTTAGTTACTATATATATAAAATGCTCTGTGCATAATGAGTACCTTAACAAAAGAACCAATGAACGAAATCACACCAAATTTGGCAACAAAACATCTCACTACACAAGATTATGATTTTGTCATTTGGGAGTTGTAGTTGCTGGGATTTATAGTTCACCTATAATCAAAGAGAATTCTGAACCCCAACAACAACAGAATTGGGCCAAACTTCCCACAAAGAACCCTCATGAACAACAGAAAATACTGTGTTTTCTGGTGGTCTTTGGTGACCCTTCTGACACCCCCCTGGTGACCCCCCCCGGGGGTCTTGACTTGAGAAATGCTGCCTTAAAGCCATCCAGTCCAACTCCCTTCACCAGGGCAAGAAAACATAATCAAATCCCTCCTGACAAAGGGCCATCCAGCCATTCACACACACACACACACACACACACACACACACACACATGTATATGACAGATGCAGTATCAAAGATTTGAAAGGGACTCCTAAAGAAGGACATAAAGATATGTTGCATGTTCCAGAGTAGGCAAACCAGACAATTTCCACATCAACACTGGCAAAGGAACAGCAAGAAATACTGTTTACCCACAAGCAGAAAGAAATTACATATATTAGAAACCAACACTTTCTCATTACTTTATTTTCCAGATCACCAGACTGGGCCACAGCAACGCCTGGCAGGGGACCTCTAGTTATCTCTTTATATAAAAACTAGCCGTCTCCTGCCACACGTTGCTGTAATGAGAAAGTGTTGGTTTCTAATATATGTAATTTCTTTATGCTTGTGGGTAAACAGTATTTCTTGTTGTTTCTTTGTCGGTGTTGATGTAGAGACTGTCTGGTTTACCTACTTTGGAACAGGCAACATAGAATTGTCCTTCATTAGGGGTCCCTTTCAAATCTATTATACTATATCTGTGTGTTTGTGTGAATCATATCTATCTATTTATCTATCTATCTATATTTATGACTGGATGGCTCTTTGTCAAGAGGGCTTTGATTAGATTTTCTTGCCCTGGTGAAGAGAGTTGGACTGGATGGCCTTAAGTATTTTCTGTTGGTCATGGGGTTTCTGTGTGGGAAATTTGCCCCAATTCTGTCGTTTGTGGGGTTCAGAATGCTCTTTGATTGTAGGTGAACTATAAATCCCAGTAAATACAACTCCCAAATTTCAAGGTCTATTTCCCCCAAACTCCATCTGGGCATATGGAATATTTGTGCCAAGTTTGGTCCAGATCCATCATTGTTTGAGTCCACAGTGCTCTCTGGATGTAAGTGAACTACAACTCCAAAACTCAAGGTCAATGCCCACCAAACCCTTCTAGTGTTTTCTGTTGGTCATGGGAGTCCTGTGAGCCACGTTTGGTTCAATTCCAAAAAACATTAAAGCAATAACAGTAAAAACAATAAAACAATGCACCGTGACACATTTAAAAACTGGGCCGGGCCAATGTAATGGGTACAGTTAAAAGTGCTGGACATGGCAGGTGAAATGTAAGGATTCTATGGTAGGTGCAATGTGCAGACAGTCTTAATTCTCGAATAAAGTGCTACTGGGACATGATGCTGGGAGTTTCCTATTCTGGAAAGGCACACTGGAACACCCAGGTCTTCAAGCTCTTCCTAAAGACTGCCAATGTTGGGGCTTGTCTGATGTCCTTGGAGAGGGTGTTCCAGAGTCCCTCGTCCCCACCAAGTGCGCTTGCGACGCAGGTGGGATCGTGAGCAGGGCCTCTCCAGATGAACCTCGTTCAAAGCAGATATTGTGGGTTATTCTGCCTTGATATTCTGGGTTATATTTGCGTGGAAGGACCCTGAGTCCATACTCAGATCATGTGGGAGTTTCCGGTAGGCTGTTAGGAATTATGGGAGTTGAAGTCCAAAACACCTGGAGGGAGGGCCAAAGTTGGTTCATTCCTGGGCAAGCCCAACCCTCAGATATCCCAGTTCAAAGCAGATATTGTGGGGTTTTCTGTCTTAATATTATGGGTTATAAGGCTGCATGGAAGGGCCCCAGGTGGAATCTCCTTCCCTCTTATTAAAGGACCCTTCCACATAGCCATGTAACCCAGAATATCGAGGCAGATAATCTATCAATATCTGCTTTGAACTGGGTTATCTGAGTCCACACTGACATAGAATCTAGTTCATTGTGGATTTTATACAGCTGTGTGGAAGGGACCTGAACCCGTGGCTCCATTGAATCCCTAGGCCCCTTGTACGCTGCCATATAATCCATATTATCAAACCAGATAATCCACATTATTTATTTCTTTACAATATTTCTACCCTGCCTTACTCGAACCTGAAAGTGACTCAAGGCAGCTTTACAACATAGGCAGCTATTCGATGCCATGAAAACAATGTAAAAATTACAATAAACATTTATAACAGAATTATAAAATACATACATTAAAACATTTAAAAACATATAAAACCACTACCTTCACTATTAGCCTTGTCGTCCAAAAACATTGTCTAAGCCATTCCAATATTTGATTTCACATAGTTCCATGTTGATCTATTGCACTAGGTTCCCAAGGCCTGTTCAGAAAGCTTTGTCTGCTTTGAACTGGATTATCTGGGGCCCTTTCCACATAGCTGAATAAAACTTCGACACAGCTATATATCCCAGAATATCAAGACATATAATCTATCAATACCTGCTTTGAACTGAGTTATCTGAGTCCACACTGGCATAGAATTGAGTTCAATGTGGGTTTTATACAGCTGTGCGGAAGGCACCTGAACCCATGGCTCCATTGAGTCCCTAGACCCCTCCTACATTGCCATCTAATTCATATTATCTGCTTTGAGCTGGATTATCTTGGGGCCATTTCCACACAGCTGAATAAAATCCCACATTTTCTGCTTTGAACTGCACTATATGGCAGTATGGACTCAAATAACTGAGTTCAAAGAAGATATTG